CCCCACCATCAACAAGATTCAGATCATGCAGGGATGGGTTTTTTGGGGGTTTTTTTGGTAGAGGTTTTACGGCGCTCGCAACTGCATAATGTCATATGAGCGCCAGAAGATTAGAGGTGTTACAAGAGAGTAACAAACATTAAAAAAAAGAAGGGGAGATAAGGACGATAGATGTTTGATAAGAGAAAGAAGAAGCAAACCACACCAGAGCACCCGCCAACCACCCACATGTAGGAATGTGGGACACCACTGTACCACAAACACAAAGAAACAATGTGCTAAATCTTCGTAATTGTTTCACTCCCCCCCCCCCCCCCCATTAACAAGACTCAGATCACGTAGGGATGTGGGACACTTCAACACAGACTGTATTAATGTAAATTGTTGTCAATGTTTCACAATCCCAAGGACAATTTAAATATCTTTGGAGGTAGGCTCCTTTTTTTCTGAGCAAGCAACAGCATCAAGGACAGAGTGGTGCTTGAGTGCCGGTGTGCACACAGATACTTGCATTCAATACTGGGCAAAAGTCAGGAAAACATCCTCCACTTGACGGCACTCGACCCATTTAGCATATTCGAGGGGCCACCACTCTCCATATATGCGACTTTTTGGGTCGCTGTTATAAATCCTTCCCTCGTTAGTTATCAAGGTAATTTCTCATGACACTGGACAGACCGTTTTTTAAATCTGAACTCTATTAGCCTGATTGCGCAGTAATTTTACGCACTTTGGACCAGTCTGAGCGGGTGTCATAGATGGGTGGGGGGGAGAGGCGCGAAGGTGCCCCCTGAGGAAACAAAAATTCTGGGTGGTTTCAGGAGGGCATGATTAGACGTTTTGCAATGTGGGTTGAAATTTCTTTTTTTTTTAAAGTAATTGATTTGCAAGTTTTAGTGGCCATATGTAAGATCTGCAGCAAAAAATAGTCATTGATCCCTTAAAGCAGTGCGTCTGTGAGCGGGAGCAAAAGCAAAAATTAACTGGTTGCCCTCGTTCCTAGTCACTTATACAGGGGAGGACAAAGGATCCACGGGACGAGGCAAGGGGTACCATTCCCACCTGGGTGAAGTGAGGAACATTTGTGCAGAGTACCTTTTCTGAGGACACAACGTCGGGCCCCCGACGGGAATGGAATCCATGATTTTACGGTTGCGAGTCAGAACGCCTTACCACTAGACCACCGACACCAGTCCTTTTACATTATTATCATGAAAAATATAATTGATAGTTTAATTATTATCTTGATCAATGCTCAAAGAAATAAGAGTACTGACCACAAAGTCTGTCCTGGTACTTCTCTATCACCCGCAGCAGATCCATGCTGGACTTCTGGATGGCCTTGAACACCTGGAAAGTGATCGCAACAGAAGAGAAAGTCAGTAAGTGGAAGACATGGTAAACATTTCTGATTGTATGAGCCCATAACAAAGATACATATAGAACCGTGTAGTAAAGGACAAATACAAATTATAATGAGAAACAAAGCCAAGAACTTACTTAATCAATATCGAAGACAGCCTTTTGTCTTCAAAGGAGGAACAATGAATTTCACCATCAGGACAAGACTTATGATTAATATTATTTAAACTGAACAAACATTGCTGTCCCAAAGAGAGAAAAAAATAATTGTAATGTAAAGCAAGTTTTGACATCACTTTACAAATTTACTGAAAAATTAGAAGCAGAGAAAGCAAATTTTGAGAGGATATTAGATGATAACTGGTAGTGTTCTGAAAGGAGTGAAGCCGACACTAGCTTTGGAACTCATTGAGCAATGGTGAGTGAAAACAGTCAAATTTATAGTGCAAATCTCAGCAGATTCATGGCAACTCCGGAGAAAGCGACATATCAGACAGGGAAAATATTGACGTCATGACTGCGTGTAAGGAACTGGTTTTTCACTTTAAGTACACTTTGAGCTATGGATCAGATTGTGACTTTGACAAAATTGTGTAAATGTTTGTCTTTTAAAAACAACAACAACAATCTCTTTACAAAGCACTCACAAAAGATAAGGTTCCTGACCTATATTTAGTCGACTTTCACTGTTTTTGAATACACACTCATCTATCTAGCAACATTCTCTATTTTCAGTAACCTTAAATTCTATTCCAGAATTCTTCATAATTTCTCCCACCTCAAGTTTCGCGTCCAATTGAGCATCTGAAGCAACAACGTGCTCATCCTCCTTCTTGCCGAGCTTTTTGATGACGGCCTGTTTGGTGGTCCAGTACGTCTCCTTCATTTTGTGCAGGGTCGATGTGTTGGTGTTTTCAACAAAACGGTCATAGTTGGAACCTGAGTACCCGTACGTCCTGAGAAACAAAGGTATATTATATCAGATTATGACTGTGACAAAATTGTGTAAATATATGTCTTTAAAAAACAACAACAATCTCTTTACAAAGCACTCACAAAAGATAAGTTTCCACTAGCCCGTATATTTAGTCGACTTTCACTGTTTTAGAGTACACACTCATCTAGCAATGTTCTCTATTTCCAGTAACCTTAAATTCTATTCCAGAACTCTTTATAATATATATATATATGTGGAACAAACTCGATTTAAGTATGGACAATATATCGCTGCAGAAAAAGACGAAAGGACAACTTTATTAAAAAAGTTATTTTTTACTGCTGAATCTTGGGAGGGAAACAAGACTAAGTTATTCACAATAAAATCATTATTTACTTTCAAGAATCTCCACATTTTATGCTGCATTCGTTCGGAGTTCTAAAACTGTTTTTTTTTTACTTTAACTGGGAAGCCCTGACAATATATCACATCCAAACACTTCCCACTCTGAGGTAAACAAGGAAGAAATTATCGTCCAAAGTCGAACCTGTTTAAATGTGGGGGGAAAAAAACCCCATACATAATAATAGAGATAGCATTTGTATAGCGCAAATCCCCGCTCAACAGCAAGCTCTGTGCGCTTCACAATCTATACTATTACCCCAGCAGACCTGAGAGTATTCTGAAACAATCTCAACTTCCTGGGAAGCATACAGTGCAAGCAGCCATATGTAGGCGCTAAAACACTAACATACTGACAAGATCTTTCGCTGTCTATGGCATCTGGTTCAAAACATACTCTTTTGAAATGTACTAACTGAGTACACATTTAAAGTAATAATGTAATAAAAACGGGCCACTGGCAGGTGGGGAAAAAAAGGTAGCAACGTACGACATTGTGTTTGTGAAGGTCGGATTCCCCTTAGTCTGTCTGTCTCTGATGAACTCCAAAACGAGCAGCCGATTTGTTGAAATGAGACTCTCTCTCGGGAATAACTTGAGTCAATAATCTACTCTAAAGAAGAATGTCCATTCCACTGCATGGAGGTGAAACTGTACTGATCTGAAAGAAACAACAAAGTCAAACATCAGCTGAAGTAAATTTACGATTTAAAGAATAAAACTGAGAAAATAAATACTTTCTTTGACATAGACATTTTCTTTTCCACCATTTCAGTAATCTTACATCTCATGTTAAAATCTCATATTTATAATCCAGTTCATAAAGTCTTACTTTTGATCACAGAGAAAAACCATTTAACTTTAACCATGGCGTATCATAAATTAGACAAAATAAATCCCATACGTTTAAAAAACCAAGAAGTACTCTTTTGAACAACATACCCTTTCCCTCACAAGAAATCATCATTGCTAGCACAATTTGTTTTCCTTTTTTAGGAGGGATCCACTGCAGTGGCCTTTTTAGACTTCACGGTGTTCAGAAACTGGTATAAAGGTACATCCTCAACCTCCTAGGACAACCTGGCATCCCTAGGCCACATCTAGACCAAGCATGGGCAAACTATTTACTACAACCTTTAGTTTAGTTTTAGTAGAGGTTTTACGGTGCTTGCAACTGCATAAGGTCATATGAGCGCCAGAAGATTAGAGGATTTACAAGAGAGTAACAAACATCAAAAAGAAGAAGGGGAGATTAAGGAAGATAGATGTTTGATAGGAAAAAAGAAGCAAACCACATCCGAGCACCTGCCAACCACCCACTCTACACCCTTTGAGCTAGACCTGGCCTGCGAGCAGTTTTTTAGTTGGGCTTGAAATACGACTCAGTTATTTTAAATAATAATTGAAACCAGCAATGAGTTTACGATGAATAAAAACAAAAGTCTCTTTTCTTTTTAGTTTTAGTAAGAGTTTTATGGCACTTGCAACACAATAAGGTCATATAAGAGCCAAAGATTAGAGGTGTTACAAGAGAGTAACAAACACAAAAAAGAAGGAGTGGAGATAAAGATGATAGTGATAGGATAGAAGAAGCAGATCACACCAGAGCACCCGCTAACCACCCACCAAAAGTCTCTGTCTTGAAAATGAAAATCCATTCACACAGTTTCTGGCCAAGCTGGAAGTAGGATATATCTTATAGTTTATAAACTATTTCATGAAACACCCTTGGGTGACATGCTGTGATGTCGATTTTAGTCTCATTTTTGAGAACTTTTAAAAGTATTTCAACTGATATCACCAAATCCTCTCCAGCAACTTGGACACACACTTGCCCATCTCTAGACATGATCTATAATCTATTTGATTGACACAGAGCGCAGCTGTTGGTAATTGTCACAAAACAAGACGAACAAGCCATACTAAAAAGCTTAGCTTTATTATAAAAGAACATGCTGCTAACTCTCCTCAATTGGTAGATAGCAACTGATGATAATACATACAGGTGAACGGACAATGGACACAGTACAGCAGCAGGGCAGAGCTACACGACACAAAAATACCGTGACAGACGAGAAACAACAAGAGAAATATCACCACAATAATGACCAAGAGATTAGCCCCATTTTCAGATGATCTCTATTGAGAAATTCTATTCAATTCGCTTTATCAAACATTAAGGGAAGGCACGGGTCTTCAAAATACGATGTTTAGGTCAAAATATTGATTTTCAACTTTTTACATTTTCGGGTACCTGATTATGTTAGGAACCGATACTCTCTGATCTCCATTAGAAAACATTTTTTCAATTTCGTTTTTAGGGTCATCTCTATTAGGGTACCTTCCTCAAAGCAAGGCCCCTTTTTCATCCAATTAGCCCCAGATTAGCCCATAACTGAGTCTACTTTGTGAAAATAATCATAACTCTGTAGCTTTATAAAAGATAAAACTAAGCCAGCACTAAACTAATGCTATCCATATAAGGAGTTGTGATACCCTGTAAAGTGTAAAAATTTGCCCAGAGCGTAGAACTAAATTAAAGAACATCTGACTACCAGAATAACGTACTAGACCCTCAAAGTCATAATGACGGCTAGACTAGCTAGCAGTACGGCTAGACAGCTGGGCTAACCGTACTTAATAAAATGGCTAGACTGACCCCCCCCCCCCCCCCCCCCAAAAAATAGGCCTACTGAATTGTGAATAAATTTTTAGTTTGAATTTCCTAAAGTATTTGTATTTGAGACGAAACCAGGTGCTTTAATGACAGTGCGTGTATTTTAAACCTCTGAATAATTTTACTAATGAGACCTGTTTTCTAATGTTAATAGGGCCTAAGATAGGTACGGCTAGAATGGCAGGCTAGTTAAAGTACGGCTAGACTTCTTGGCTAGCTGTAAGGCTAGACCGCTAGGCTAGCCGTACTTTTAGGATGACTAGACAAGCAGGCTAGTCGTACTTAATTGAAGGCTGAATTGTAAATGAAATTTTTAGTTTGCAATGCCGAAAGTTGTAAGTATTTCAGACAAAATCAAAAAGTGCCTTACTGACTTGCATGTATTTTAAGCCTGAATAATTACTAGATCTAGATCTAGGTAAGATTGTACTTTACCGGACCACCGGTCGGAACTACTTTCGCTATGGCGCCCCTGGTGCCTAGTGGCCCGCTATTCTTCGTTTCCGAGCTCCCCTACTCACTCTCCTACTCAGTTTTCTACGTCCTCACTCTTCAACTGCCAGCAATCGACTGACGTCTCTTACCGGGTTTTTCAGTCATCACGACCGTGCCACCGTGCCCTTTGACCCATGACCCTGACATCTTGAGGCTAATTGGTCAATCTAATCACGTGGTCCACTATTCTTATTTGCTCGCAACTCCGCTGGCCTGGCCTACGCTAGGCCCTAGGCCTACTCCTGGTCCGGCAAAGTACAATGGACCAGAGGGCTAAAGATGCACACGAGAGCTCATTTGCATAATTGCAACCCCCTCGGCCCTGCTCGCGACTTGGCGAGTATCTACCCCGATTGTCCGTTCATGTTATTGTTTATAATATGTGTGTGTCAGTGTCTTTAAATCATTGTTGCCAGGGGGGCTGAAACCCCCCCTCCCCCCACTGTTGTTACATTGATATGTAAACACGACTGTCCGCTCATGTTATTGTTTCGCATTTTTGTGTGTTTTCTTTATCATAGTTTCCAGGGGGGCAAGCCCCCCTGAACCCCCCTCTCGCTCACCTCGCCTCGCCAGTTGCCGCTGGCTTGCGCTGTGCGTGCGCGAAGTCGCCCGCGGAACTACCTTTTGTCCGCAATGACTATGAGAGCGTAGTTAGGCTAGGTGTGCGTAGTAATCACGGACCGAGACGGGTGGTCCGGTAAAGTACAATCCAGCCTAGATCTAATGAGACCTGTGTACTCAATAGGTTTGAGTCAATGTCAATAAGGCCAAACCTAGATCTAAGTATGGCTAGACTGGAGACAGCCGTACTTTAGACTCTTAGGCTAGGCTAGCCACTTCGTTTTAAGTAAAATGCCCTATGATTGCTAAGTCTATGCATAACGGATTTTGAAAAAATCATGTATGTCTTCCCTTTACTTTATCTCCAAGGGGGGTAAACCCACTACGTCGGGGCCCTTTTTTGGTGCTAAAAATGACAAAAATGTCATTAAATGAGTCATAAAATCGAAACTAACAAACCTATTTTGATAGTACTCTACTTCATCTAATGAATGAACTTCCGGTATAAGAGACCTGTTTTCGGCAACTGTCGAAAAGTAATTTCTAATCGAAGTCATCGTAAAGGAATGTGCCCAAGCCGCTGTCACCGGCAGAGTGGTTCCGAATAGTCACTTCGATTTGGAAAATGTTGAACCCAGGCGAAGAATTAAAGGCTTGGAATTAAAAGCATTTGGACGGGATGATCTGACTAGCCACCTGTAATGCCGATATCTAGATCTAGCTATACATGCCAAATACCAGGGGATCCCTTCCACTCACTATCATCAGGACCAGAAAACTGACACTGCTGACGCTCTTCTGCCTCTGCTGACAACAAATTGTCAATTGATGATGAAAATTGTTAATAAATTTTACATATTACAATCAAGACCAAAAAGCAGCAAAACTATTGCTCCATATTTTATCCGTCATAATGAGTAAAGTGTTCTTTCAATAAATGTTCAATATCTTATCATGTCTTTTCCAACACATTTCTAGGCAGGTTCTATGCAAGATAAGCCAGCACTATAATTCACCTGTTTTGTCATCAGATGCCGGCCATCTTTGTTTTCTTCCGAACGAGTTCTTCCGATAACACTCGTTTGTTTACGGAATCAATAATTCAGAAACGTACCGGAAGTATTTCTCGCTTTCGCTATAATTAATTCTTTATTTTCTTTTCGGCAAGATGAGGTTCCACGTTTGTGAAGACAAAGATGTGTCTTGAGGATCCTTTAGTTTCACAAGAATATCGAACATCTAACCTTTGAATAGTAAACGGAATTTGTTGTCATAATGGCGACCAGAAGTCTTACTGAGGTTTTTATTTTGATGAGAAATAATGCTCTCCAAAGCAGACACATATTCTCCGAGCAGGTAGGTTTCAGAATCAGAGTTCCAACTTCCAGTAATCCAGTGCTAAAACAAGTTGCCTAGGCCTGAGCCTACATTACAAAGGCAAAGGTTAAGAGTGGAAATAAATAGGCAGAGGCTAACCCTATAGGTGTTTTTGTTGTTGTAGAGATCAGGTACAGAATCCCAGAATCCAATCTTGACCTACATCTAGATGGGAAGATTGAAGAATACCGGACCACTCGTATACACACTATACACACACACATTATTGCGCGAGAATGTGGGACGGGTGGTTTGGGGCGGAGGATGGGGGGGGGGGGGGGGGGGGGGTCTCCCCATCTGACAAAATTTTGATGAATGGATCTACCGGTCCAAGATTCTCCATTGAGAGTGTGAGAGACATTAAAAACTGGGGAAAATCGTGAATTCCCGAGGTTGATTGAAACATTAGAATCTAGGCAAAAAAGTCAGTCCGCTGGTCCGGTATTCTTCTCAATCTTACCTCTAGATTATTCTAGATCTAGATCTAGATACTTTTCTGTCAAGTTCTTGAAGAGAAGTCCAAGAGTGGATATAGGCAGAGTCTAGTCGGCTGCCTCAAGTCAAGTAAACTAGGCTAGAGTAGAGTAGGCAGAGGTGCTTCTAGAGGCAATTTTAGTTGGGATTTTAGTTTTAGAAGAGGTTTTACTGCACTCGCAACTGCATAAAAGTAATGAGTGCCAGAAGACTAGAGGTGTTACAAGAGAGTAACAAGCATAAAAAAGAAGAAGGGCAGATAAGAACGATAGATGTTTGTCTCAGGAAAGATGTAACTAAGTTAGTTCTAAAGCAAACCACACCAGAGCACACCTGCCAACCACCCACAGAGGCAACTTTGTTGTTTTATTTATAGAGATTAGAAACAGAATCTAGAGATCTAATCTAGATCTAAATCTAAATAATTTAGTCTGTCTATCTAGATTCTTTATCATTTATAGTCTCTTTCTCTTTCTCTAGACTAGATATTTTGTTGTGTGTGGCTGACGAGGAAGAACCCAGTTCTTGTTTGATCTGGTAGTCGTCAGTGTTTGATTTTGGGTTTTGTCACGCTTGACACTTAAACTTAATTGAAGAACAATCAGAACAATGAAGCAGTGTAGTGTAGAGGCCTAATCTTGCCTGCTGATGGGACACCTTTCTGAATGCAGTCCAATGCCAATTGCCCTGGCTACAAATTTAGACAAAAATATACACGGAAGCTTTGGCTTTGGGTAAAAAATAATCCCACTACGCAGGTTCCCACTATAGTAGTGCAAAGGGGAATAATTACCAAAAAATCACACTCTATGCTCTCCTCTACTGTCTTTTTGGCCTAGCCTAGGAGGCCTATATATGGCAACATTACTTTTGGAGTGGCTCACGTAATGTGTCCTCCGCTCCATCTCACTCTTACGCCTGTCCCACCACCTCACTCATCACTGGACTGGCCAATCACAACACCGCACTGCTGATTGCCTGTTTGGAGCCCTCCATGAATCCCCTTCTCCCACCTAGAGCTCGCTCGCTCAATCTCTCCCGGTATCCAAGTTTGGGCCTTTCCTTGCCCCGTTAAACCCAAGCACAGTTTAAAATTGAGTTAACAATACATAGACAGAAAAAAGGGGCTTCCGGTAAGATCCCGCTGTAGAGATGGTCCCGCTGCAGGGAATGCTGCTATAGTCATGCTCTACTGTATATATTATTGCTGTGGGTGGTATCCTTTGACCCTGAGAAACCTGGACCTGATTGGACATATATTATTACTTAGACGGAACAAAAAATCAAATATCAATCAATGTATTATAATTAGGCTGGACCTTGCTGTTATTGCCTTTAACAATCAAACTACTCAATTAGTAAAATAAAATACGACACACTGTAATTCTATCATTGAGGAACATCTCATTAAAATTTGTGATCTTGCGACATGCAGTTTTTAGGGTATCCTAGAAAGTTATTTGGAAGCCTCTTTCAACTTTGAATTTATGCCGGAAGGAAAAGCATAGAATAAGGAAAATAAAAGTAGTGTTTGGTTTCATTTTGAGTAACTTCTGATTGTGATCAATTTTGTCAACATTATTGCAACATTTTTAATTTGAATTTTGTTCCTTTTCAGACTGCAGATGACAGGACGTCTCTCATGTCCAGCGCTCATCTGGACCCGGAGCTGGGCCTTGCATCGGCACGGACTGGGAATCTGCCCCCTGATTGGTGAGTTTATTATTCTCATATTCTTGATCAGTGTGCCTTTTTTCTTTCCTTCTTCCTTGTACTTCATCATCCTTCTCCTCATCTACCATTTTCTTTTAAAATAGATAGTGTGGGGGGGGGGGGGGGGGGGGGGCAACTGTAATTGTAACCTCTTAACTCTAGATAACATCTACTGGAGGTCACTTCATTCGGACATTTTAACTCTAGATAACATCTACTGGAGGTCACTTCATTCGGACATTTTAACTCTAGATAACATCTACTGGAGGTCACTTCATTCAGACATTTTAACTCTAGATAACATCTACTGGAGGTCACTTCATTCGGACATTTTAACTCTAGATAACATCTACTGGAGGTCACTTCATTCGGACATTTTAACTCTAGATAACATCTACTGGAGGTCACTTCATTCGGACATTTTAACTCTAGATAACATCCACTGGAGGTCACTTCATTCGGACATTTTAACTCTAGATAACATCCACTGGAGGTCACTTCATTCGGACATTTTAACTCTAGATAACATCTACTGGAGGTCACTTCATTCGGACATTTTAACTCTAGATAACATCTACTGGAGGTCACTTCATTCGGACATTTTAACTCTAGATAACATCTACTGGAGGTCACTTCATTCGGACATTTTAACTCTAGATAACATCTACTGGAGGTCACTTCATTCGGACATTTTAACTCTAGATAACATCTACTGGAGGTCACTTCATTCGGACATTTTAACTCTAGATAACATCTACTGGAGGTCACTTCATTCGGACATTTTAACTCTAGATAACATCTACTGGAGGTCACTTCATTCGGACATTTTAACTCTAGATAACATCTACTGGAGGTCACTTCATTCGGACATTTTAACTATAGATAACATCTACTGGAGGTCACTTCATTCGGACATTTTAACTCTAGATAACATCTACTGGAGGTCACTTCATTCGGACATTTTAAACAAAATGAGTTCAGAAAATTTTCTACGTCATGGAAACTTTACATGATGTGCTTTGGTGGGGGAGACTGTTTCAGATAATGATCTGTTTTGTTGAGAAAGTAGGTGTACATTTGTAGTGCTTTGAAAATGATAAACGATTTCTTATGGTCTTTGATTATATAGATTGTTTTTCCTTACTTGTATGCTGACCAGATTTTTCATCTTGCCCCCCAGGATTGACAAGCTCACAGAAATTCAGTTTGAATTTACAAAGATTAAAGAGAAAAGTGAGTCTTTTGGAGCTTGTACTTTTTGTTGTCATGTCCTGACGCAAATTTAAAAGAAGAGTTTATAAAAAGGTATGAATTCACAGTTATCATGTATTTTTGTGCTCTTTTATCAGAAGGGATGAGAAACCCCTTTCCACAGTGCTCTTGATTCTTTTCTTTGATACATGTATCGATAATCGTCATTTGATGGGCAATGACGGTTGAGGAAAAGAGGTAGCACGGTGCATGCATGTCAGTATTTTGAAAGTGAAAACAGGAACAAGGACTGTGCACTGATGTGTGTCTGAATGGAGGGAAATGTACATTCTATCTCTAATGAAAGTAGAGTAGAGAACTCATTAATCTGTGTGCAAGTTCTCATTAGAAGCCTTTTTGTGACCATGTTTGCTGGACGTAACTCAATTTCCTGATATATTTTTTTCTCTCAGTTTTCTGATAGCTATTCCCATTGATCTCAATAAAAATAATAGTTATAGTACTCTAATACCGAAATGTTTTTTGTTGCAGTGAAAGAGCTGAATTCTCTCCACGATAAACATTTGAACCGGCCAACACTTGATGACAATGTTGATGAGGAACATGAAATTGAAATTAGAACACAACAGATCACACAGGTGCTGTTATTTATACTTTCTGTCAATTTGCAGTCTTTTCCCAGATATTTGTGCACTTACCTTTTCGTTTCTGTAACCATACTTATCAAACTTTATTATTTCAATCATAGCTTCAACGTGAAAGTTGAATTTTGCTGTTGTTGTTGTTGTTAATCTACTTTTGTGATTTGTCAGAAATTTTAGGATTTTATTATTAACACTTTTCCATCATATTTTGGGGAAAATCCAAAGAAACTTGGTGGTAAACGTCACCAATCGGTGAGATGAGGCGGCAAAGTGTTGAGGGATAGGAACATTCCCATGAATTATTATATTATGACTGATCCATAGTTTGCTGAGCTTTTTAAATGAACATTGTTGCTACGTGACGGTAGGAAGCTGTAGATGGAAGAAGATGGCAGGTGCTGCTGTTGTTTGTCTATGATGGGTATTGCTGGAAAGAAAGATACCATTCATCAGTGAATTATATCCTGGAAAGAGAAGGTTTCGTTAAAGTGGTGTGATTTGTCCCCAGATGTTTTCCCACTGCCAGCGTCTAGTCCAACAAATCAACAACCAGAGCAACAGAGGGCCGTCCTACGAGCAAAAGTTGTCCCACAACATTGTGGCGTCGTTAGCCCGCACTATGCAAGAGATGTCGACCAACTTCAGGAAGAGCCAGTCTGCTTACTTAAGAAGTCAGTAGCTACCCGTGTTTGTTTCGTTTGTTACTTGCTTACTACTCATCACGCCATCTGGTGTTTGCTTACTTACTACTCATCACGCCATCTGGTGTTTACTTACTTACTTACTACTCATCACGCCATCTGGCGTTTAGGGCAGCAACAAAGGATCTCCAGCTCTGTCTGTTTTGGGCCATCTTGGTCAACGTCCCCCACGAATGGTTCCAGGATTTCATTTCAGACTCTACTGTGTGTCTCCAGGTCATTTTGGGTCTGCCCCTCTTGCGACGTCCTTCGGGTGTCCAGTGGAGGGCAGTCTTTACAATAGAGTCTGGTTCTCTTCTTAGAACATGCCTGATCCATCTCCATCTTCTCCTTGTTATTATGGTGGTCATGTCCTCTTGCCTACATTTCCGTGAAAGATCTGCGTTGGAAATCTTGTGCCACAACATTGTGGCATCGTTAACCCACACTATGCAAGAAATGTCTACGTACTTTAGGAAGAGCCAGTCTGCTTACTAAAGAAGTCAGCAGCTACCCGTGTTTGTTTCGTTTGTTACTTGCCAATGTTTATTTACTCTGTGCGTGGGTGGTTGGCGGGTCCTCTGGTGTGGTTTGCTTCTTCTTTCCTGTCAAACATCTATTGTCTTTATCTCCCCTCCTTTTTTGTGTTTGTTACTCTCTTGTAACACCTCCAATCTTGGGCGCTTATATGACCTTATTGTGTTGCAAGTGCCGTAAAACTCTTACTAAAAAAAAACCCAACTTACTCTGTGCAGGGGAGAGCCGAGTATATTCATGTACCCTGATGATACTCTTGATGATGATGGATGTGGGTTTTTTTCCGTTTTGTGCGCAGGGTGATTTGAATTTACGGCTATTGTGGAGAAAAATTAGATTGGGCTTTTTTTGGACGACCTGTTTGTCACATCCATGCAGGTTTTGGAGAAAAGTGTCCTGCTAATACACAGAAAAATACTGTGGTTTGGTCGATTGTTGGAGCAATCTGTGCTTGACTTTAATGTCGAAAGATTTTGTCAAACACAATTTTTCCTTTCGCTTGCAACAGTGAGAATGATATTCTTTGATGGAATGTAGAAAAGTGATGCTGACAGTTTTTTTCTCCATGAATAGAACATCGGGCACAGCTCTTTCAAAAACCTCATGTTTCTTACAATGGCATGTGGTCTTCTGTATTCTTCTGTATTTGAAGCAAAAAGCGTAATATTTAAGTTTTTAAAAATGTCTCTCGTTACAAGAATGAAGATTTACATTGCTACTTCGTATAGATTGTGAAACGCAGAGAGTCTGCTGTTGAGCGGAGATTTGCGCTATACAAATGCCATCTATTATGTTCTTCTCTGGTAATTGCTTTGTATCTTCAGAGATCAAAAACAGAGAAGAGAGATCTCAGCAGTTTTTTGGCACCAACTTGAGTCCTGACTCGGGCCTGATGGCAGACAGCATGGGAATGGACAGCGATGTCATGTATGATAAGGTAACAGTATTGCTGGCTTTAGTTTAGTGTTTACGGTGCCCACCAAAGAATGGACAGCGATGTCATGTATGATAATGTACAGTCCGTGTCGGCTTTAAGCACGCCGGCCTTAAGCATGTTTCGGACTCAAGCACGCTAAACGGCTCTTACCGAATTTTTGCTATATAAATCACACGCCTTTTAGCACGGTAACTTCGGCTTCAAGCACGCTTCATTTACAAGACAGTCAATATTTTCATGATGACCCCTCGAAGTTCGAACACAGTCTACACCGCAGCAGTGGAGTGTGTCAAGAGAAACACAAAGAACGCAAGTGATGGACACACACACTCAGAGGAAGGCAGAGAGATGCACACAGCCGTGCGCGCGGACATAGGATCTAGTCTAGGCCTAGGGCAAAGCTACACATGACCAAAAAAAAAAAAAATACAAAGAGAGTCGGGGAGACGAGAAAGGGAGGCTGGCTGCGATTTCACCTTTGACCCTCGCTATCCATTAATCCTGATTGTGTATCACACGCGAAGTGGGATGAAGGCGATGGTATGAGTGGCACAGCGGGCAGTGGTACGCACAGGCAGTGTGTTACAGTAGGCATAGTGTGCTGTATCATGACTGGCCGTCTAAATTAAGTTTTCATTTCCCATTCGACCACAAAACAAAAACAAACAAGCGAACAAAAACTACCATGGCGGGTGGCTAAATAACTGCACACTTTTGCGGGACCGCTATAGGCCTACTTACAAACAAAGGGAAATAGCACGGGGAATTTTCTACATGAAAATCTCTGGATTATGTCTACTTCGCACTTAGGCATGCTTCGGCTTTAAGCACGCTTAAGCTTTCTCCCTATGACCGTGCTTAAAGCCGGCATGGACTGTAACAGTATTGCTGGCTTTAGTTTAGTGTACCCTGTTAGCAGTGCTCACCGAAGAGTCAAGCTTTCTCACAACCTGTGAGTGGTAGAAATATCACGTTACAAGTGTTATTGAGATTGTTGCTGCTGTACACACTTTATAGTACTAATTTCTGTCCTATTTTTCTTGAATTCTTTTAAATAGCTCTGTGACATTTCATAGTAATAATAATTTTTTTAGGTTAATTCTAAATTGTATGCTGCCAGGATGTGCGTTTGATGTGGGAATGACAGTTTTGATAAGTTTCCAACTCGTGTGAGTTGTATGTGCAATCCTTTGTGTACTAACTATGTGGTACTTTTGATTTATACTTTTATGATTATATGTTTAATTTTATCTCTCTAAACCATTTCTTAATGTATTAGCTTGTGGAGCCTCAGGCATCCACCATCTTTTTCTTGTATTGTCTTTTGTTTTTAAAAATTTGTCGAAGTCTAAGGTCCATCTTTCCTGGAGTCTATTGTATATGGCTAGATTCTTCTTCGTTGCTCACAAATATGAGTTTGATTTTCCTGATGGGAAAGTTTTATTTCCTCAAATGTCGCCTGCCTTTGTCACTTTCTGTAGGGCTTCTGCATCTCGCTCTGCTATGGTTGTGTCAATAGGGGAATAAAATATTTATGATTAATCTATTAGCAGTGATGTTGTTGTTATCGATCCCTCTCACCCTTCTATCCAATGCCATGTAGTGATAAGTGCAGGATTGCTGCAGTTGCTGTAATGTTCCATAGAGTGTGTTGTCAATGTTAGGTCTCGGAGGGAGAAGGGATCAGCGGTGATGGAAATGTAACTTCAGGGGGTATCTTTCACGAGGGATGGGAGATATATCGATGGTAAATTTAAGAGAAGAGTTGAACTGATTATTCTCACATTGATCTTCACGATTTGGTTTTGGTTTCAGCACTTTCAAAAAATTAAAGTCCCTGATACCGTATGAGTTCTACGTTTTTTTAAATGTTTGTCTTCCGTCGTCAGGGCTTCACGTCTGCTCAGATGCAGCTGGTGGACGACAACAGTGAGTTTGTCCAGCATCGAGAGAAAGAAGTGGCCTGCATTGTCCGGTCCATCACAGATCTCAATGAAATCTTCAAAGATTTAGCCTCAATGATTGTAGATCAGGTTTGTCGTTTTTACCTCATTATTTTAGTACTTTGCGACCTGAGTGCTTTCTTCTCGTATCTCCATTTTTAATAACAGTGAAAACAGTTCATGACAAAGAGTGAGCTTAAGAAGGAGTCACACTTTCATTGTTAAAAAAATGGAGATACGACAAGGAAGCTCTGAGGTTACGACTTGATGGATCAAGATTATTTTGTTTAATGTTGACTGCTTTGAAATGGACCATTTTAGGGGGGGGTGGTAGTATTTTGAATCTTATATCATTACATGCACTTGCTGTACAAATGTTGGTATTAATTTTAAAGATGAAACAAGAATATAATTTGGTGAGGAATCAAAATATATGCTCTTTATAGAAAGTGTTGTATCCACATTGTTTTAGTGCTGTATTAAAGTTTTGTGGAGGTACAGCTGCATGCAGTGAATTATTTTTTTAAGGGGGAGGGAAGATGGATTTCTCTAACTTACTATATTGTATATCAGTAGTCATGACGATGATGAGGGAATTTCCTTGTTTTTTTTCAATTTTTTATATTTTAAAAATTTTTGTGTCTGTTGTATATTTTGTGGGTGGTTGGCGGATGCTCTGGTGGGGTTTGTTCCTTCTTTCTTATCAAACTTCTATTGTCCTTATCTCCTTATCATTGTTACTCTCTTGTATCACCCACAAATCTTCAGCACTTAAATGATGTAATCATATTCAAAGTGCTGTAAAACTCTTACTTAGCGTTGTGTATTTCAGTTAGTGATAATTTGAAGCTGTTTCCTGAGGGATGGCATTCACACCAATACAAAAAGTGAAATATTGTCATTTTGTTATCTCGACAGGGCACAATCCTGGACCGAATTGACTACAACATCGACAACGCAGCCACCCAAACAGAAAAAGGTTTAGTCCAGTTGCAGAAAGCTGAAAAGTATCAAAAGAAAAACCGCAAGATGATGTGTATTCTGATACTTGCAGCCGTCATCATCGTCCTCCTCATCATTCTCATCGCTGTGAAAAGCTAGCGAATGCTCAGAACTCTGTGATATTATTTTATAGCACGTTATTTCATATATATATATATATATATATATATATATCATGGCATGTATAATTGTGTTATTGTGAGGTTTTGTTAGTGTTTGTTGGATTCATTGTTCTTGTTGCCTTCCTGTGTATGATAAAGTTGTGAGCGTGCCTGGTGAAAGGGACCAGAAGACGCATTTTGAAAAAATCTGGGTTTTTTTGCATTTTCATGTACAGAGATCATTTCTGAATAATATGCTTTTTGAATTTTAAAGATATCTTCTGTAGTTTTTGAGATGTGGGTGATTTTGTAAGGCAGGGTATGAAAACCAAAGTTTTGAGAAAAACGGCTTTAAAGTTTCCCCTTTGTTTCTGCTTGAAATAGACAGATCTACGCTTCGAGACGACCTGACAACACATTCATTACTCACAAACCAACTTTAAAAAGCAGTTAAAACAAAAGAACAGCTTTAAAGTGTTTATATTACGTCTTCAAAACAAATTCACCACCACCTTGAGCAAGAGTTTTCAAGAAATAGATCTAGGTTTGCGCAGGGCAGAAAAATTGCGACGCAAGTTTGCTCTCCGAAAAGGCGAAAGGGTGTGGATGCGCAAAGCTTCGCTTTGTTTATATGTTCTAGATATTCATGCGCACAACCCGCTATTAGAGAGGGGAGAGAATGACCTAGATTTTGGTGTGCAATGTGATTGGGTCGACTTTATGAATGGACAAGAGAAATCATCCGCAGGGTGTACTCGGAAAACCAATTTTCTCGCGCATTTTGGGGGGGATTATGCAATATAACTCGTGTTAAAAAACGTCTTTAAAAATGTATTTAAAAGTCGAAGAAACTCAAGTCCTTAACTAAATGTCGATATATTAATGGCTAAAGAATCCATTTTTAATGGAACTTAGTTTTTGTCAAAAATTCTATTTTTGACCTTTGAAGCCTGATATCTCGGTTCGAATAAATGTGTCTTCTGGTCCCTTTCACAAGGCACGCACACAGTTTACTGTCACAGAAAGGGGGTCTAGTGAGCTAGAGTTTTGCATTTAAGGAAAGATGGTAGTGACAATTGTTAAAATCTTCAAGTTCAACAGTTTGCCATTTATTTTTCTAATCAATTTTTGGGGGGTGAAATAGGTGATCTGGTGCGTTGAGTGAAATGTGAGCTGTTCATTTTATTGAATCTGTTACGCCAGTGTAGGTGTTATCAACTTGTAATGTTGTGGATGCTTTAAAAAATTTGTCCCTTGTTTTTGAGCATGTGAGTCATTAGGGTGTTAAAGGGAATACCTATCTTTGGACATTTAGAAAGTGTTCTGCAGAGAACATTTAGGATGTTTTTTTGAGTAATGCTAATTTGAAGGGAAGGAAAAGTTTGTTAGCCGGCATTCTCAACGTAAGAAGATAATACAAAAGATAAACAGCATTATTTGGAAATAAATCCAAAACTAGTGAACAGAACTAAGGGTGAAATGCTAGGAAAAGATGAGCGTTACCCGTATCTTTCTGTACCTTCCTTAGGTCTGCTAGTGCTCCAAATTGTTCTTCTTTTAGTCTGATGTTTGTGCGTATAAGCTGCTTTCGTCTCGGTCTTGACTTGACCTCTGTACTGCGCGTCGTCTGCCTAGCACTGTGTTGTTTGAGCCCACCTATTACTTGAACAATATTCCCATACGATGTCACCTTTGTGTGTGTAACCCGTTTTGTTATTTGGTGTCCTTGTTGTGTTTATGAAGACGGAGCGTAGAGCGGACCCAATCTTAGGATACTTTTACAGTTGTCCTTCTCTACCCTGAGGGTACTAATGAGGTCACTGTTAAAACTAAGTCACTGAATTTGGACTGCTGTACAAAGGTTCTGTGCGCAGTGCAAAAAACAAGTGATGGTCAGCTGAAATATAACGTCCGAAATTTTCTGTTATCTTGAATTTGTTAGTAATGTTAGTTATATTTGAAAGAGTTGAAAGAGTAGATAAACCTCTGATGCACTTCCTGTTGGATGAACGGCTTCTGTTGATTGCCTCATTTAGCTTTTCTAGCTCGGTGACTCGTTCTTGTTAATCTCCACTCATAGTATCAGTTAGGTTATATTGACTTTCAATTTTGGCTTCTATTTGCGTGGGTGAAGTCTACTTGTACTTGTGTTGATGCAGTTGTGGGATGTATGGCTGGAAGATTCACGGAGGATGGACCGTCTGTCTAGGAGAATTGCTCCTATAGGATTCTTTTTCTACTGTGGGGCCGCACGTTTCTTTCAGTGTTATCATGCCTATTTAGGGACTCTCACACCCCTTATTTATACTGCACAAATGCTTTGGTGTGAAGGGTGTCGGAGATATGTTCAAGAAAGGCTAATGTGACAATGGTGTGCTTGGTTGTAATCCTGTACAACTGAAGAGTTCTTTCTGGGATGACTTGACATCTCTTTCTAAACTGAGTTTTCTGTTGTTGAGGCAGTGCTAGCTAGCAAAGCTGTGAGTTTTCCGTGGTAGGAAAGTTGGCAAGATTTCTTAATTAAGTGTTGATGGAGAGGAAAGGTGCAACTTTTCTAAGTTTCCAAAGTTCTCCCTGTGTAGGTGTTACCACTGCTATAACTGAATGCTCATTGCAGATAAATAAAGGTACAAGTATGTGGAAAAAGCTTCTCATTTTGAAAATATTGCAGTGAATGTTTCAAGGTTGTTTTTTTCCTTTATATCCCAGTGAGAGGCTAACATCAAATTGCTAGCGTTTCGTTGAAATTTTGAAATTATTTTTTCAGGTTTATAGAGCATCAGTTCACGTTTTACGCTAGTGTAACGCAAGTATAATCATTTGTAATGTTTTTCTGTAACGCACTTATAATCATTAATTGTAATGTATTTCTGTATTCACCTGTGAGAAATTCAATGAAATCATGAGACTGAACAGTTTTTCGGGGAAGGGGGTTCTCATGTCGTGTTTGAAGAAATAGCATGATTGATGTGACCCAAAACAGTCTTACTTAACTTTGGCTGTGTGCAATAGGTGAAATCAATGGCCAGTAGTAGGTGGTTCTTGTGATGCTTTTCGTCTGGATACTCGTTCAAGCGAGTACCAGATCTTGCTAATTATATTGTCTGATGCTGCCAGTCTCGGATGATTGTGTGTGGTGAGAGCTGTATGTTAACTGTGATGTCAAGGACCACACGATATCGACACTGGTGCTCAGTCGTGAGTCTGTGGTTTTGTTTATAATGCTGTGCAAATGTTGCCGAGTTGTCCCACTGGTTTTCTTCAGTAATCAAGAGATTATAAGTTTCAGTGTTCTTGACGAGCAAAGTCTCTTGATTCTTTATTGAATTTGCCTTGTGCATCATGCGTACAAATTGTTATGTATTTATTTTCATAAAGCGATTAATTTTTTTTCTCCAAATGACAACATTCTTCACTTTCATTTTGTTTTCCCTTTAAAATTTGAATGGGCTATGCAGTCTTTTCAGCTTTCCGTCTTTTCATTCCAGTCTATGACAGACATTCCACTCATTCTGAAATGTTCTCTCTCACTTTCCGTCATTAATCCTTTTTTGTTTGTGTAAATCTGTGATAATGTAAAGAAGTGTGTCCATTGATAGATATGTTTTTTAACCCTGTCCGTACGTCGTGTTTTATTATCGTATCCATACGACGTGGGGAATTCTGTGCCACCACTTTCCGAAGCTAAAATGTGAAAAATACAACCCCATGGGTACAAAATGACCCCAGGGCGTACAGGTAGGGTTAAATTGATAGAAGCTTCTCTTCTTTTTTGTCTGCTAGTCGATCGTTTTATGTTAGAGGCCTGTACTAAAAGTAATTTGCTCTGATATAGATGTGAAAGGTCAAAAAGTAAAGACAGAAATATATGTTTGTGGATGGGGATGGTCATTGTTGATAGATATTTTCTAATGAGGATTTCAGTAAGTTGCTTAGTTTAGCATTAAAAAGGGGTTATCGTAACATAACATAGCAGAGAGGAATTCAGTTCCTCAGGATTATCTTTAATCATTATAAGTCGCTCTCTTTATTTTTCAAATGTTTTAAGAAGCTGAGTAGGATGCTTTGGTGCACACACACCCCCCCCCCCCTGGAAAATATGTTTCATACTTCAAATATTAGCAGTCGTTGTGAAGTTCTTTGTGGTTTTATGACATGCAGTCCTGTCCATTTCCTGCTTGTATTAGTTATATTCCTCCTGAAAGGAACAATTATACATGGGTGCGTTTTTTGTCCTCTGCTGGTTTGCTTCTGACTTTTTTGTTTGACAAGATTAGACCAAAATTTGAGTGCTTTCAATGCAGTGAAGTCTCTCCAGGCTGTAAAATAGTCATAGGTTTCCAGGTACGTTAGGACTTGTCATTTGTAATTCAACCTTCACTTTTTTAAATGCAGAAGTTTAGCTGGCTATGGTGCAGGTGACTATGTGTTGAATCCTTAGTAGGCTGTTTTTTAGCTGAGGTAGTCTGTGAGTTTTCAGGGTTCTTCACACTCACTTGGCTTGGTCCTATCAGGGGCCAAAGGCCAGCCCCATAAAAGATAATTACATTGCTGATGTGTATAAAGGCCATACAAGTACCAAGTATGTGTTTGCAATGTTTCTGTTCATACAGAGAGTTTTGTCCTGGGTGGTTGGCGGGTGCTCTGGTATGGTTTACTTCTTTCTTATCAAACATCTGTCGTCTTTATCTCCCCTCCTTCTTTTTTGTGTTTGTTGCTCTCTTGTAAAACCTCTAATCTTCGGCACTATATGACCTTATTGTGTTGCAAATGCCGTAAAACTCTTACCTACTAAAACTAAAGAGAGTTTTGTCTGCAGAGAAGGGAATCTTTTCTTCATATGGAAATGTGTGTCGCCCAGATGTGATGGACGTCAACACATTGGCTAGTGGTGGGTTCTACGTGTGTAAAGTTTACGTAATACAAGAGACTGGGATTAGAATCTGGCAAAGCTGGGATTTTGTTTCTGTTTGTGTATCTCTTGTTTGTTTGTTGGTACCGGTACACTGGTGACTGACATCAGTGGACCAAGTTCCCCTTTCTTTCATTTTTTATCTATATGAAAGAAATCTGTTGTGAAGTTGTTGTATGGTTTTGTGTTTGTCCATTGTGTTCAAAATGGCCTAGTCATCGAGATGAACCTGTTCTTGACACTTTGCTTCTTGCTCTGTGTTACTTATTCTATGTACATGCCAGTGATAAACGAGTCACTGATAGGTTGCAAAGGAAACAAAAGGAACATGTTGTTACGCTATTTTGTTTTTTGGGGAGATATTTTTGCCTTTAAAAAAGAGAAGGATTCAATTTACATGTTTATGGACATGTATGGTTGTTGAAAAAAGTCATCTCAGATTCAGTCTTGTGGAAGGCAGTCACAAAGCTTCCCTTGAAACAAATAGCTGTTGGGTACTTTTGAAGAATTGTTGTCCAGTCAGATTAAGAGGTGTAATGTTGGTGCCCCTATCGGTAGTTTTCATTGAACACGAAAGTACCACAAGATCTCTCCTAAAGACATGAGTGCTGTGAACGTGCCAGTGGAGGTGAAGGTGCAGAGGTCAAAGTTCCCTCTTTTTGTCTCCTTTGAGTTGAAACATTTCTTACTCATTTTTTTGGGGGGGTGAAGTTTAGAGTAGAGTCATTTGAAAGGCTTATTTAATATATTGTTATATCTTGTCTTTGTTTATTTCTGTCTGTAGTTTAAGTTTAATTTTAACGTGCTGCACATGTTTGCTCAAGTCTCGGTCTCAGCTTGGTTTTTTTTTGGTTGTATTTTTGTCCCCCAGATACTGTTTGTGCTTGAGTGTGTTGTGTCAGTGTGCCACTCTGAGAAAGTCTAACCGATGAACTTAATGTCATGTGCAATATAATAATGATTAAATGTGCTGGTACTCATGGTGAAGAAAACCGTTCTCATGTTTCCCTGTGTGTCGTTTTGTACAGTGAGCAAGCAGGCTAGGGGAGCACAAAATTTGTTTCCTGTTTCCGGAGGGGAAGCTGCGCTGAGGTTTTACTGGGCTTGTAAAATCCCAACCTCAGTGCTTTCTTGTCGTATCTCCATTTTTAATAAGTGAAAATAGTTCATATCAAAGAGTGAGCGTGAGAAGGAGTCACTTATTCAATGTTTAAAAAAATGGAGATACGACAAGAAAGCACTGAGGTTGCGAAATAGTGAATCTTTAATGAGTTATTGTAGTATTATGGTTTCATCTTTATCAGTCAGCAAAAGTTCCATCAAAAGTTTCTATTGTATTCTCCTTCCGAAGTACTTCAAGGTGATAATATGTTCACTTTATGAAATTAATTTTTGGGATTTGAATACATCTTTTGGAACAGAATACATCACCGTTCTTGAAAATTTAGTCTGTTAAACTTGAATGCTACCTCAGGAAAAAATTCATTAAAAATTTTCTAATTCGTTTAGGAAAAAAACAACAGACAAATTTTTAGATCTAATGTTTGTGAACACGCATGCAAAAAAACAATCAATTTCCATGGGCGATAAGTGCGGTATTCATTACGTAAGACATGTCAATAAAATCCAATATGGCGGCGCATCCATGGAAACGAAACTTTTTTCTCAAATTTGACTGCGGATTGTAAGACTCCTTACTATGCTTGTTATATGTGTGAAATTTGGTAAAATTCGGTCCAGTAATAAGCGAGATAGCCTCCAGGTGTAGCCCCCCCCCCCCCTTAAGGTGAAGAAATCACCTTTATTAACCAAATATACAGATATGTTCAATGTCTTGGGAGTACAAGGAGCTGAGAATAGAACTGACTGATTTCCATCAGTTCATCTGTATGATGGCATGGTCAATCCTGTAGTTTAGTGGAGGGGGGGGGGGGTTATTCTTTAATGGAAATATTGAGGCGCATTGCTTTTGGCAATTTAGTTTTCCAATTTCCTCAGGGGTTTGCTTGTTTTGTTTCAAAGAATGTTGCTTTTTTGCAGTTAGAAAACGCACAATACAATCAGAAAGATGGAATGGTGACTTCCTGGGACATATATATATCTAAACTGGCGTGCTTACAAAATGAGTTACTTCTCGGATTCGAAACCTTTGGAAATAGATACATCACCCTTATAGGTGAAGTTTTTATCATTTATAAGTATGAAATAATAAATGGCATGTTATAGTCTATGAATATGGCATCAATAGATATTCTATAAATTTCACCTTAGTGTCAATTTTTGGCCAACATCTCTATTTGTGGATTGCGAGAAGTAACTCATTTTGTCAGCACGTCTCACAAATATTTACACTGGCTTGCTTGCTCAGTGGCCGTAGTCAGATTTGCTTGTGATACATTTTTCTTCAGACTGGTGTGTGTTGGGCTCATAACGCTAACCTACATGTATGTGTATATTCTCAGCTTATTAGAATATGACCTGTTAACGAGTTATTGTATGTTGTAAACATATAATATATATAGATGATTATGATAATTATGCTTTTTTTATGTTCTTCAGCAAAAGAAAGCAAAACTTTATTTTGCCAAGATTGGTTCCCAAATTTAGTGGGGGTTGTTTTCAGGTGTGTTTTTTAAAGCCTATTAATTAGAAACATAATGTATTTGACTTTTATGGTCTGTTACAGTGGCTTATATAAGTCCATGCCATGTTAAGTATTGGGCATTCCCTATATATGTACTCAGATGAGATTTTTAAGCTCCTTTTTCAGTTTTCAGCTCATGTTATTTATATATAATGTATCACGTAGACTTAAGTATTGTACCTCCGACAATGGCAAATCAAGTGGAATTCTGTGGCCTTCGTCCTCAGCTTATTTATCTCCCTTTTGCTTACTCATCACACAGCAATAGAGTGCAATAGTGGGTGGTTGGCAGATGCTCTGGTGGGGTTTGCTACTTCTTCCTTATCACACATCTATCATCCTTGTCTCTTGTCCTTCTTCTTTTTTGTGTTCGTTACTTTCTAGTAACACTTCTTAATCTTTGGCACTCGATTACCTTATTTTGTTACAAGTGCCGTAAAATTCTTACTGAAACCAAAAGCGTGCAATACTGACTAGGCAAAGATTGGAAGTGTGGTTAGTCTGTTTCTGTTTTGGTTTCTGTGGCTGAATGACAAGTATGTTGGGGTCACATAAGTACGTGCATTTCGCCACGTTGGACGTTGATTTGCTTGATTTGCCTTTTTCTGCATTTGTGTCCCTGTGTTTCTGGTTTTGGGAAGATTCGACCGCTGTTATAGTATAATAGTACATGTAGAGGCAAGCACCTCTGTCCCAATGTCTGCTGTAAGAGAACTTATTTACTATACATTAGAAGAGATGGGACGCTGGGATTTATGATAAACCGGAGCCTGCTATAGTCGAATTTCTGTACTCACCGTCGTTGTTATAAGTGGGGCCCACTGTAAAACTAAACTCACACCAAAAGTGGTGTATTACGAAGATTCTTCTTTTTTTTTTTTGACTGTTATTAAATTATTAAGAGTTGTGTGCGGAGTGTATGAATGCATTGCAAGTAACTTGTTGAGATCATATCAAATTATTGAAGTGTCCTCAATTTTCTTATTTGTTACTTGTGATTATCTGAATGTATGTTTGTTTATTGGTTATTAAGTATGTTCCTGAGAATACGTGTCTGTACTTTTGTCAAATGAATTAATGTGATTGTTTGTGGGAGAGAAAGAAAGAGAGAAAGGAAAGGATAGAAGGGGATTGGATGAGACATGCTCACACTCCCACACATATGACGCAGACAGACAGGAGTGACAGAAAGACTGACCGGCTGACACATAGAGACTTGACTGACAGAGATGAGAAATTTATTGTATTCTGTATTTTGATTCATGAATTCACTGAGTAATAGTGAGTCTTAAGATTGTATTACTATTACTCTTACAATTGTGTATGTCATAAGTATTGTAATATACCATAATGTGGGTGATTAAAAAGAAGAATCAAACAGTGTGTTAAGTACTAGTGTTATTTGCATAATTGGTCGCTTTTAAGGACAAGCGGGCTAACCCAGATTTCGGGGGTTTCCAGAAATCTTTACCTACACCAAAAGTGGGCATTGCCCTACCTCTAGGAGAAGTTTGGTTTCATTGGTGTGTATATTTGTTTTGTTATAGAGAAAACTCTCCTTGTCTTTCTTTGAACAAGGGGCAAAAAGTTTACCTTCGATTTTCTCAAAACAGCATTTTTCGAGATGGCCCCCTTGTGCTTAAAAGCTACCAATTAGCCTTTCCCTTTTTATCCAGGTCTTGTTTCTAAACGTAATGGTATCAGTTTTAAAAAAAATGTATTTTCCATCGTGGCGACGTATTAGATCGCCCAGATCAGAGACAGCAGATAGAGAGCTCTCCTTGGTGGCCTATACCCCGTAGAAGGGTGAAAGAGAGAAATGATAATGATGACTTTACCCAGTTGACTCCACTTTTACTGAACTCGCTTGAGTTGATCTTCGGTTATGTTGATCTTTTCTCTTGGCTCCCAGCAACTCGTTTTCTGTATAGTAGGCCTATACTTTACCTTTGGTTAAGTTACCCTCGGATGAATTGATTTGTTTTTCCCCTCCCCCGGCGACATCAACTCATCTGTAGTCGATTGTATCATTAGCGCCTCGCAGTGCCACTGAAACGTGTTGCAAGTAAGCTTGAGTGAACACAATCAGTGAAGCCATTACATGTATATATAGTTATCTGATTTCTTAACACTATCCGTACGTCGTGTTTTACTATCGTATCCATACGACGTGGGGAACTCTGTGCCACCACTTAACCCTATCCGTACGTCGTGTTTTACTATTGTATCCATACGACGTGGGGAACGCTGTGCCACCACTTCCCAAAGAGGAAATTTACTCGTTAATCCGATCTTTTGAGAAGTATTGAACGTTTCAAAGAGATCTTCGCACTAGAACTATTCGAAAATGTGAGGAATACAACCCCGGGGGTCAAAATGACCTCAGGGAGTACGGCAGAGCTGCCAAAGACAAAGACCATCGGGGGATGGAAATAAGTACATGTGTCGACTACACACTTGTGTTGATGCTAAGGTTTTGGCTAATGTTTCATTCCAAGTCAATGGGTCTTTGCTGTGACTGCCAAGAGCAGTGGAGGAATTTGTCACAAGGAAAGGGAAGGCTGGTGTCGTGTCATGGTTGATAGCTATCTATTCCGAAACAAAGGCTCTCACTGAACAAATCCGAACGCCCTGGGGTCATTTTGTACCCCCGGGGTTGTATTCTTCACATTTTATAATACTTCTTGTACGAAGATCTCTTTGAAACTTTCAGTATTTCTCCAAAAATCATTTTGACAGACTGCTATGCAAAGCGTCCGGATCGGGTAAATTTCCTCTTTGGAAAGTGGTGGCACAGAGTTCTCCACGTCGTATGAATACGATAGTAAAACACGACGTACAGGTAGGGTTAAGTGGTGGCACAGAGTTTCCCACGTCGTATGGATACGATAGTAAAACACGACGTACGGATAGGATTAAGTGGTGGCACAGAGTTCCCCATGTCGTATGGATACGATAGTAAAACACGACGTACGGATAGGATTAAGTGGTGGCACAGAGTTCCCCACGTCGTATGGATACGACAGTAAAACACGACGTACGGATACGATAGTAATTCACGACGTACGGATAGGGTTAAGTGGTGGCACAGGGTTCTCCACGTCGTATGGATACGATAGTAAAACACGACGTACGGATAGGGTTAAGTGGTGGCACAGAGTTCCCCACGTCGAATGGATACGATAGTAAAACACGGCGTACGGATAGGGTTAAGTGGTGGCACAGAGTTCCCCACGTCGTATGGATACGATAGTAAAACACGACGTACTGATAGGGTTAAACAAATCACGTGGACATAACCACGACCCAGAACCAACAAGAACGTCACAGACACATACTGCAGCAAGAGGAGCGGTCAAGAGGAAAGCGGCATCACAAGGTTATTGTTAAAAAGATAGGCGTGTTTTGACCTTCAGACCTGTTGAACGGAGAGAGGGGAAATATACAAAGTTGGTGTCGAGTACACGTATCTTAAAAAGAAAATAATCACATACAACATAATACATGTATTATTCAGGAGCTTCTCGTCTTTCCAAAGTTAGAAAATCGATTGTTTGGTGAACAACAGAGGTTTGGTTTAGTTGACCGTCTTCCAGCTTCTACAATCATGGGAGTTGTGACCAGAATCAGTTTAACATTTTCCCTCTGTGTGTGTACGTCAGGCCTTGGACTGTCAATGGGTGTGTGTGTGCCGTGTTGTACTTTGGGAGGGAAGGGGGGGGGTCTGGGAGGCTGCTCTCACACCCACGACTTCTGGAAAATTGCAGTCCTGTCTGACTATCTGGGCATTTGCTGTCGCGACTTGTCAAAATATATTTGATGTGGGTGGTTTGCGGGTGCTCTGGTGTTGTTTGCTCCTTCTTTCCTATGAAAAATATATCTTCTCCATCTCCCCTCCTTTTTGTGTTTGTTACTCGGTAACACTTCTAATCTTTGGCACTTATATTATATGACTTTATTGCGCTGCAAGTGCCGTAAAATACTAACTAAAACAAGCAAATTGTTTGATCGAAATGACACCACAAAATGGAGCACCCACCCACTTACGTGACTTACTCTGTACTCAGCATGCGTAAATGCCACCGCTTTAAAAAAGATATATCTAAACATAGATCTAGATCTAAAAGACAAAATGTAAAAAAAACACCAAAAAACGAAAGGAAGGAAGATAAAAAGATAGAAAGGAAAACCGTCTTGTAACCCATCCACCACGAGTGCCATCATTTTGGCCTACGTCACTCTCGTGGCGGGCGAGTACGGTATTCTGACATGGTCAGGAACAACAAGATCACAGAAATGGCGGGAACAACGCCTATCCTCCACTACATCTACACGCGAAGGCAAACAATTAGGGGGGCTCTCGAGGCCTAGAGGTTAAGGTGTTGGCCTCTCATTCAAAGGTCCCGGGTTCGAATCCGGGTAGCGACCAAAACATTTTCTTCTCTAAAATTGTCTCCTTTCACCTCCTTTCCTGCTCTCTAGCAATGTTCTATTGTCTGCTTTCATTTCCACTTTTTGCCCCCACCCCCTCACCTCCTTTGCCCCCTCCTCTGGGCTCATGACCCTGCAGCCTTTCTACTGCTACTCCTTGGCTCCTCCTTACTGCTGTCTTTCTGCCACACCCCTAATCTTCTGGTAGGAAAGATCTACACCTAGCCTTCTCGGACAAGGGCGAAAAATCTCGGAGGGGCTGTGTGCAAGTTGCGCACGTTAAAGATCCCTTGGTGGTCTAAAATCGATAAAAGTAGGCTTCGGCCGCCACCCGGGAAAAATTCAAAATTCCCTACCAACTGAAAATATTAGGAGTGTCCCGCGCGCTCATATGACCTATGCAGTTGCGAGCGCCGTAAAACACTTTACAAAAACAAACAAAACAATTAGGTGGTTTGGACATCTCACACGTATGGCACCTAACCAGCTTGCCAGTAAAGCCTACTACAGGAAGGCATCAGGGTACAAGGCAAGAGGAAGACCACCAAGACTCAGTCGACCGTCACCGTGGACAACCAGGCAGGATTTACGCACGCTAGACTACTATATCTCGGTAGACCTCTGTGTGTGTGTGTGTGTGTGTGTGTGTGTGTGTGTGTGTGTGTGTGTGTTATTTTTAGGGGCACTATACACCAGTATTGGTCACATTGTGAGGTGAAGTGAACAAGTTTCAGTTAGTTGTATTCCTTTAACGTACGCTTAGTGTCAATGATCAATGGAGAACTCTGAGCGGACATCTTGCTGTTTGATTCTACAAATGGAGTCAACGGGTCAAATGTTTTGCTGGTTGAAATGAAACAGAAAAGTGATGAAAATACCACAACAATGCGATGACAAGTGAGAGAGAGAGAGAGAGAGAGAGAGAGAGAGAGAGAGA